GACAATTATTGACATGACTTGTGTGAATAATTCCCAATTCTTGCACTTATATAACATCAGTGATCTGTGAGGTAAACTAAGATACTGAACAAAAAGTAAATAACGGTGTCCTTTTCCCAAGTAATAAAAACAGTTTTTATCAAATTGTAGAATTTTGTTAATTTTTCAAAATAAAATCTTATACTTTTAGCATCTACTGTTGCTTGTAAGTTAGTAAGCACTAGTAGAAAACAACATCATTTAAGAAAAGATAAACTAATATTAAGGGTAAATTTGGGAAACCTTAATTCTTAAAATGTCCTATGAATTAATTTTTAAGATGTGAAAACCTATTCTTGGTGTTTGTTAATTAAGTAAAATATATTAACTCTCACAAATTTGAGGAATTTCACTCCCTAAAGCAGCCTGAAGACCACTAGTGGTTCATGGAAATACTGGCACTTTAGATGAACTTGGCTGGGAGGTTGGCTAGACGGAGAGAAGTCAGCCTCAGCACGATAACCTACTAAGCAGTGAATAACGTTAGCTATTGTTACTAACAGCATTAGTATTATCTGTCTGATATATGCTTTAGACCCAGTTGTTACCTAAGACCTGGTTTAATATTTTATGTTGTTTTTCCTGCGTAGGCTGGGAAAGGATTTCTTCGGGCCATAAGAGCTACTCCAATGGCTGTAGCAGATTTAATTCCAGTTGATACAGTCGTCAACCTCACCTTGGCTGTAGGATGGTACACGGCAGTACACAGGTGTGGATGCTTAAGCCATCTTTCAAGGATTTGATGAGGAAGAGGGTGAATATGTTAGGCTTATTTTCCAATTATATTCATTTTATCATAGAATACCCCAAATGTGAGAGGGCATCTGTTTCAATATTTAGATAGTTCCAAATATGCCATCATATATGCATTGAGTTGTTTTATAAATACTGCTTACTACTTCGTTGATCATAAAGTAATAAAGTCTTTAATTCATTTAACCATAAAATTCTTAATAACCAAAAAGCTTTTCTTTCTATTTAGTAATCTGAAATACAGCTTTCTTTTTTAAGGCAAAGGAGATAAAAATAGATGAAATGAGAACATATTTTATATTTTATTGAACTGCTCGGTTCCTGATAAATGCCAGAAATTCAGATCACCATGTGGGGGGTATTTCCTAGTACAAAGGAAAAAATAGGTTATTTGCATATTTGACTCTGTTAGTAAAAGGTAAACAGAATTAAAATTTTCTTATTTGAAGTCAGACATTTAGATGTTTCCAATTCAGCACGGCTTAACCAGATTTATGAGAAAACATAGCCTATATTTTTGCCCAGTAAACAAGTCCAGAAGTTAGAAATATAACCTGCTTTCTCATCATCATGGCACCTCCATTTGCTCCATAGATATGTTAACCTATTTGAGATCTCTTTCACACACACACACACACACACACACACACACTTTTCCTAGTCTTCTTCCATTTTGCTTATTAACCCAAAGAAGGAACGAAAGATGGAAGTGTTGCATAGGTTGCCTTAGTCATGGGAATTATTGAAACAACCTTGTCTAAACGTTACTTTCCCTTCTCTTTCTTTCATTAGTTCTCCATTTTGTTGTATTTATCTAATTTTATTTCATTTTCCAGACCTAAGTCAACATTAATCTACCACTGTACATCTGGTAACCTCAATCCCTGTAATTGGGGCAAAATGGGTAAGTGCCTATTGTGATGTAACTACATATCTACTAGCGACTGCCCACACACTATTAGTGTCTGCCACAGGGGAAAAGGTAGACAAAGTGTGTCATGGAGCTTAGAGTCTAGAGGGGGAAAAAGACAAAAAAATAAAGAGATAAAATAATTGCAAATTGTAAATGTGTGCGAGTTAGCTAGAATGACTGGTATACCAAAGAAAAGGGCCAGTGGGAACATCTGTGTGACTGTAAGCAATAAGAGGTCCATTGGCTATAGAGATTTAAAAAATAAATAAAGCCAAGTAAAATTCAGCAATTATAAGCAATGTCAGTGATAAAATACTCCTCCTCCTGAGGCAACTGCTCTCATGTGCACATCCCTTGCCCCTTTGCTACATCACTGAGAATGCGAAATGATCAATGACCAAGTGGATTTAGAAAAGTCCAGTAATATTAACTTTTGTTATCAAGTCAGTGATACTCTTCATTAATTTATGCAGTTAGCCATGAGTGTGACCTTGAAAGTGTCTTGTTGAATTGAAGCAATTAACTCTGCTTATAATAGAAAATTATCTAACTGATCCTGTATTCCTTTGTCAACTTAGGAGTTGATTTTCTTGTGAATATCTGAAACTTTTAGATCATCTAGCTGTCGTTTAGGTACTAGATGTAGAAAAAAAAGTAAATGTACTTGACTTGTTAGAATCTAATTTTCAATTCAGAGCACTCTGCTGTGCTGTTCTATTTGCAAAGTTATTACTTCAGTAAAAATAAAATGAAATTATCTACTACCATCAAAGTTCTTTAGATCATATATCCAGTTATTTAGATCATATGGCTAAATAGTTCTGAAAAAATTTGCAAATAAAAGTAAATCTCCTCTACCTCAGTAACAGAGTTAAGATACCACTCATTAAAAGAGGCATTAATAGAATCAAACAAGATATCTTGAGCTCTTACATAAAAAGATGCTACATGTAAATTCCATTTCTGAGATTCAAAATATTCTTCTTCCATGCTGAAAATGCTTACTATCTCTTTTATAAAATTAGAGAATGTCATAGTTGAGAGTGATCTTAAAAATAATCTAAAATAAATAGTGCTCACTTTGTTTCACATATGAGGCCCAGAGAGAGTATGAGCTATTCAAATTCATATGGAGAGCTGGTGCCTGAAATACAGGTAGAAGACAGGTTGCTTGCCTCTCTTGAATGTGCAATAACCACTCCATTAGTGACTCTTAAAAGTGAATATGAATCCCCCTGGGAGGAAAAGAGTCCTGGATCTGATGTTTCTTTGTATATATAGTGTATACACTTTTCATATAGATTTCCAGGTAGTGTCTTTTAAGGAGGACAATAATTGTATTACCATAATAACTAATGTCTTCATCATAATTGAATAATGAACTTAGGCATATTCTTTGAAAATTCTACATAAATATAATCAAAATTGAATTCAAGTGAATATCTTTTGAAAAGAATTATTGAATTTGCAAATATGCATTAAAAGTTTTTAACTAGGTTTTATCTAAGTTATAATATAAAAAGAAAAAGATTATTATGAACAAAACTCTGGAGACAAGAGTGGACAATTGAGTCTGACATATTCTTAAAGAAGTAGGAATACCAAAGAATTTGAAGACTGTGGTATTTAAAGTGAACCAGCAGAAAGAAATCCTGCCTGTATATTCTCTCTTTTAAAAAACTTACACTTTAATAAAGCTTCATAGATAACCTAGGAATTGAATGATGGATTTATGTTTTTCTGAACAATACTTCACTGTATTGACTAAAACTGTATCCCCAAGAAGTTGTCTTAGAGTAAAGGTTTCAAGAAAAGGACCCAATTCTTACCCACTCACACTGTTTGATTTTGCAGGTGACCACTTGCCCGGCATCAAAATCTTAATATTGTTCTCAAAAATTGATTCTTGACTCTACACAGCAAATCCTTAGTCTTTATAATTTTGACCCATTGTATAACTCCATCCACCACAATGAGTTTATGCACTCCTAGACTTAGCACTTATTCTGTTGTTTTTTCCCAGGATTCCAAGTCTTGGCAACCTTTGAAAAAGTCCCATTTGAGAAAGCTTTTAGGCGGCCCAATGCTGACTTCACAGCCAACACCATCACAACCCATTACCGGAACGCAGTCAGCCACCGCGCCCCTGCCATCATCTATGACTTCTATCTGCGGCTCACAGGAAGGAAGCCCAGGTGAGAAGTTGGGTCAGTAGCTTTAAGAGTATCACTGCATGGAAGACTAGGGCCCTAAAGTCCCTAGCCCTCCCTTCAGCTGGGGATCACAGGTGACAACTGAATCTAACATACATATATATAAATTTGGGGACAATCAAAGTAGCAGTAGTGAGAAGACCCAGAGGACCTCCACCTTAGAAATCCTCTGTCATCACAACAGAAGTCACGTGTTAAGGAACTTGCTTGATAAATTCAGCAAGTTGTCATCCACCCAAAAAGAAGGGCAACTGAGACTCGTGTCCGGGGTTTTCTAAGTTGTTAGATAATCTTAAAATGTACAATAATGGAAACTGACGCACATGTGGGACGATGCATGATGAGCTCATCTTCATTCTCACAACACCCCCAAGGAGGACATTCTCATCATTTCAATTTTACAAATGAGGAAAGAGAAGCTAAGGGAATGATTTAAAGAAGTCTCAAAGGGAGTGACCGAGGAAAGATTTGGAGAAACCTGAACTAGATTGACTGCCACCTACAGATGAGAGAAGAAATTACAGGGAACAGGGAACAAGGTGGAGAGAAAAGTGTCCTGATGCTGAGGCAGTTCTGTCACCAGCTAGCTGTGTGACATAGGACATATCCCTCTCTCTGTCTGCCTCACTTGGGTAATATTATATGTGTCTGAGGCGTCATCGTTATTATCATTACCAAAGGCAATTCCTGCGATCGAGAATCAGAAGCATGAATTCTATGGCCTTCTGTGCTAGCCCCTCTGTAAGGGAGGAAGTCTTTCTCAGCATGTTTAATTTCCATCCTTATTAGCACAGCAAATGTCTAAAACTTCGGCAATTTAGAGTTTACCTAAATTTTCTGAGACCTTATTTAGAGCTCATAACTCAGTAATTGTCAGTTTCTTCTTGAGCAAGATGAAAAGGGGACACTGTGGCTATGGGGAAGATATTTATATGGGCTTATTAAATAAAAATAGGAAAAGAAGAAAGACCAAACATTGAGGCAGAAATGCTAAAGCCTTTAAAATATATCATAGTTGTAAGAAGACCTAGATAGAGAGCAAAGTTCAGTAAGTAGAAAAGAAAAACACAGGAGGAAGAGACCCAATAAAAATCATCATGAGTTTCGTTTGTAAGAAATTAAATTGTAATATTTGTGGGAAATCGGTAGTTTTTTTTGTAATAGGAATTTTAAGAATAATCTTCATGGCAGAAAATGCTAGAATCCTTCTAGACCCTTTCCTTTCCCAAGTGTGTTTGGGTGTAATCTTCTATGCATGTACAACCATATATGGACACATATAAATATAGTTTTGCTTTGCAGTGTGTACGTGTGTATATAAATCAATCCTACATATTTTCCAACTTTTTTCACTAATGTTCCATGAAAATATAAGTCATTCTGTCTAGTGTCGTCTTTTTTTCCCCCTGTGACAAACAACAGGGCAACGATTATCAGCGCACATACATTTTTGCAGAATGTGCCCCTGGGTCTGGGGCGGATGCCGAGGAGTGCGATTGCTGGACTGGGGGGGATCTGGATTTGTGACTACTGCAGGGTTGCCCTAAAGGAAGGCTCTGTCAATTTGTACTACCACATCAGCACACAAGGGTGCAAATCTGTTTTTTTTCACCCTCATCAATACTTTGCAAATACTTTGCAGTCTTTTGAAGCGTCAGACTAATGAGAAGGAGCGGCCTCTCTGTTCCTTCCGTTGGCATTCCCCTGAGGGCTGGAGGGGCCGGGCTTTCACCCGTTCAGTGGATGTGCACGTTTTCTCCTCTGCGAGGTGCCTGCTTCTGCTTCTCACCTACTTTTCTGTTGAGTTGTCCTTATTAATTTATGGAAACCCGTGTGTGTGTGTGTGTGTGTGTGTGTGTAAATATATATTTAATGTATTTTCTCAAAGTTAGTTTCTTATCTTGTAATTTTGATTATGAAGCTTTTTGTAAGAGAAGGGAAGCTACATGTAACGTAGGTCTTAAGAGCCTGGAGTTTGAAGTCAGACTTCCAGATTTAAATCCTGGCTTCACCAGTTTAGCCATATAAGCCCTAAATTACTTAACCTCTCTAAATCCTAACTTCCTCACCTGAAAAAAGGGGATGGTAATCATATCTGTTTTGTAGGCTTTTACCTAAGAGTGCATAGAATATAGTAACCACTATTATTACTATGGAAGTTTTAAATTTTTATGTGATAAAATGAATCACTTTTTTCCTTTATGGCTTTTGCATTTTATCTATTAAGAAGACCTTCTCTACCTGAGAATAATAAATGTATTCTTTCTAAAAAAAAATTCTATGTTCATCTTGTTCTGTACATACAATGGTATCATTGGACAATGATTATTTTTAAAAATTAAAATAAATATATTGAAATCACATCATTTACATCAGAGTTGTAGAATAGATAAAGATTGTCTTAGTCCATTGGCTGTTAGAATATTGTAGTCTGGATGGCTTATAAACAGCAGAAATGTATTTCTCAGTTCTGGAGACTGGGAAGTCCAAGATCAAGGCAGATGCTGAAGGCCTGCTTCATGGTTCCTAGAGAGCCATCTTCTCTCTATGTCCTCATAGGCTGGGAAGGCGAGGGAGATTTCTGGGGTCTCTTTTATATGGGCACTAATCATCTCTCAAAGTCTCCCCTCCAAATACTGTCACACTGGGGAGAATAGGTTTCAACATATGAATTTTGGGGGGATACAAATATTCAGTCTATAGCAAAGATGTTAGATAATAAGAGCTAAATGGAACCCTATTGTGATGTTTGTATCAGGGAAAAATGACTCTACCTCCTGCCTAAGAATTTTCCATGATACAATGAGAGAAGAACCTCATAAGTCATTAGGTATACGGGTGTTAGGATTTGACCAGAAATAAGACGAAATGCCCAAAACAGCTTCATAAGTCATTATTGGGTCTACAGTAATCACTTCTATCAAGTGTCAAGACTGGCCTAACTAAGATAAAAATGAAATGTTCTATAGGCCAAAAGTGGTTTATAGCCAGAAGACCTGGGTTTGAGCCTTAGCTATGTGGTCTTGAACCTATTAATCCCTCTGTAAGATGAAGATAAATAATACAGATCCTGACTACCTCACAGAGTCATATTGTGAGGATCAAATAAGTTTACATATGAAAGCTCTTTGTAAGTTGTTGTCAAGTTGGGAAGTTCACACAGCAGAGCTGGTCCAAGTCCTGCCCTCAGGATTGGAAGATGTGGTCCATCCTAGGTTATGGGACACAGGATGGTGAGATTACAAAAGCAGAGGCTTTTGAGGTCAGTCAGAACTGGGTTGGAATGGCTAGCTTTGACACTTATTGTGTTATTGTGGTGACTTAATCTGTCTTAAGCTCACTTTACCCATTCATAAAAATGTAGAGGGATGTTATGAGAATGGAGATATTTTTTAAAAGCCATGCCTAACACAGTAGGTTATCAACAAATAAGTTCTTTTCCTATTAAATCTGCATTACTATTGACAACTGCTTTCAGTTCACCAGTTGCTAATATAGTCGCCACTCATGCCCAGAATTTATATACTAAGACCTCGGATAAATCCTTTTTTTTTTAAATCCAAGAACATACAATAAAGAAGAAAAATAAGCTTTCTAATTGTCTACCTCAGAATTCAAAGAATGAATGGTATGTCATTAAGGCTGTATGTCTGGCTCAGTTTTTTAAATTTTTGCTGCCCTTGAGAAAGAGATGGTAGGAAAGAGGAAAAGGAGGAGTGGGGTGGTATTGAAACACCTGATAGAACAAGCTCCTTTAGATTCATCCCCTTTCCTTCTTCAATGGTTAATGTGCAAGGGAAAAAAGAACAAGAGTTGTAATGAGGAATTGGGGGACAGAGGAGAAGGATAATTTTTGTATTTTCTCAATAATTGTTTGTCATACACACCTATAGAGGAACAGGGAAGCAGCCATCAGTGGTGTGCTGATATTTGCTCCTATCTGATCTTTACCTCAGGATGACAAAGCTCATGAATCGGCTTATAAGAAACGTTTCCTTACTGGAGTATTTCCTCAACCGCAGTTGGGAGTGGAGCACAGACAATACAGAAATGCTGATGTCCGAGCTGAGTCCTGAGGACCAGAGGGTAAGGGCAGCACTGCCTGACCAACAGGAGAATCTTACTCATTTGGAATTTAGAATTATTTTACCTAGAAAGCTGATGAATTAAGGAAGTTTTAGTTATACGTACAGAATTTTTTTCTTTCTTTTTTTGGCTAAGAAAATCAGTCAATGCTATTGACAAAATTGCAGAAAAAAAGGTTAATGTAGGTAAGAGATCTAAGTTCTTGGACTTTGGTTAGATCCTCCCTGCTATTTGGCAGTCACATTTCATATGCTTAGTTTCAACCTTTTGTTCATCCCCGGTAGCTGTTATCTTTTCAACAAACTCTCGGTACCTCTGTCTTTCCCCTACCCTCCACAGCATATGACTTCAATGAAAAATAATAATTTTGTTGCTTATAAATTCCCTCATCCACTGTTCTGGTCGAATCAAAATCAGTCTGCATCTCCAAAGCTACAGCTCCTTCCTTATCTTTTTAAAGCTAACTCCTACTCCTATGCGTTCTGTCCCAAGTAAGACCTCCCTCCATCAGTATCGCCCTCTCTCTAGCATGGCAATCATCCTCCCTGTAATGGTATCTCTTCGACAATTCAGAATTTTATTTCTCAAGACAGGCCTTCACTTTAATTGCTTAGCATCATTACCATTTATTTCTTTACATTGACTACTTGGCAGTCACAATGTTAAGTCCTGAAATCTTTGCATATTCTGAAATTCACAAATATAGAATTATTTTATACTTTGTACATATTCCTCCTTTTGTTCTCAAAAAGTCATGTGTTCCCTGAGCATATCCTTAGTTTTCGATTAAACTTTAAAGTTTTCACTCTCTTGAGTGACATTTTCCACTAAAACTTTTTTAAAAAGAAAGAGAAAAGCATTTCTTGATTTATCTTGCACTTCGCAGCATGTAGAAGAAACCAAGTCCTATTGAGAAGTAAAAGTTAGATGGCTGGCTAGCCTCACCTTCCAGCTAACGGTTTTACTCCCACATACCAGCCTCATAGAGCATGATTCACATTCAAGTCCCAGAATTACTTCATGTCGTGAAACTTAAGGGTTACTTGCAAAGTCCAACCCCATAAATGTTATATTAAATACACCAGGTGAGATTTAGAGGGATATTTTAACTCAAATCATTGCTGAGTACCTCTAAAATTGACATGAAATAGAGCTATTTTCAGAAATGTTTACATACCTTGTATAGACAAAATTCTTCTAAGCACTTGTATTTGAAATGCATGGATGATATCCAAATCAGCTTATTAAAACAAACATAAAAGCTCAAGCTATTGTAAATTATTTTAAAAATTAGCTTCAAATTTTATGTAGGCTTATCTTGATTGCATTTTCTCCATGGAATTTACTTATCTAATTCAAAAGGTACTGAGCTTAGAGTATAGTTTTTGATATTTTACTCTATTAACCTAAATAACTAAAAATTTTGTGAAAAAAAAATCAAAGCTTCAGTGGACTTAACATATGCTTTCAAAATATCTTAGCAAAGGTAATAGTCCTGAATACTTGAAATGTAATTGCCAAACTCTGGTTGGCTCAGAATTCAGTTTGATTTGCCATATGGAAGGAGCATTCCAAACTAGGGCCTCATTGAAATCTGACTTAGAAATATGAAATAGTATAAAAATGAAACCCTCTGTTTATACAGATGAATAAGTAATATTTAGTGATACTGTGGAAAATAGATATATGCAAACAGTGATACAGAATAACTTTTGGAAAGCAATTCAGCTTTTGGACAAGTCTGTGAAGCTCTCTGGAACTTGTTAATCCCATCTACTCTGTTGGTTAATACTCCAAATTATTTCACAAAGATTTGAGATAACTTGAAAGAAACACCTATAATAAAAGAACAAAATAGAAAGAAAACATCAAACTAGGGGAAAATATGTATTAAAATAAGGAGTCAAGGATAGGAATGAAAAAATAGAATGTCCATAGGGAGTCTACACGATCCTACTCAGTCACTGCAGTTAACCAGGGAATTTGTTCTTGATCTTTTTGGAGACAAATTGAAAAGGAAAATATAGTGTCATGGCATTCTTTGTCCGAGAGGAGAAAATAATACTAGTGTTCCAAGAGAAGCAAAGTTTTTCTACCACTGAAGTCTCAAAGAAATGTTTTTGAAGGGCTTCATTTGAGGAAGCACTGAGAGACATAATGGATAACATCTCTAAAGCAAATACAGAATATAAATTCTGCTAAGCTATTCCTTAAGGCTTTGCTTGCCAAAGCTTACCTTAATCTGCATAACGAAGTTGTGATATTGTAGGAATAAGGATGGTAGATCAAGGGGACAACACCAAAATTTAGGAATGGAAAAGAAAAGATGTGTAATTTGTTTTGGTCCCTAACATACTATTTCATCACTTTTAAAAATAATTAATCCTCATTTACTTGAAATGAAGTAAAGACTTCATTTTGCCAGACTAATACCAGTTCCTTAAATTTCCCTCACGAGACTTCCTCAAGGTCACATGTGTGTGCTTGACCCATGTTTAAATATTCCTGTGTAAATGCTAATCCATATTGTTAGTGCCTCTGAAATAACAGTTCAAATAATCTCCTTTGGAGGGTCCAACCTAAGTCTTCCGAACTGATGTCAGTCATTTATGTAAAAGAAAATTGACTGAATGGACAAAGCGTCCAGCAGTGCGGTTCTGGCAATCCATAATCTCTTCTTACTTTTCAGGTATTCAACTTCGATGTGCGCCAGTTGAACTGGTTGGAATACATTGAAAATTATGTTTTAGGAGTTAAGAAGTACTTATTGAAAGAGGATATGGCTGGGATCCCAGAAGCAAAGCAACACTTAAAAAGGTAATCATGATCAGTTAATATTTATTGAGCACTTACCATGTGTATCTGATTTTATACCAGACATGAAATTTGACTGGGGGAGGGGAGGAATGAACATTTTTCTAGCATTCACTACATTACAGGTCCTTCCCTGTATACTATGCCCTGTAGTACACTATTTCATTTAGACTTCACCACATCTCTATGAGGCAGGTGTTATTTTGGTTATGCCGTTTTTATCAAACAGCTATTTAGGCTCAAGATGGTAAGTAACTTGTCCAGAGTAACACATGGCAAGTACAGGAGCCACATTTGAACCCAAGTTTCTCTGTTTCTTCTACTACCTCCTGTCATAATGTGATAAAGAGAAAGAATACCCAACAGGCAGGAAATATGATTCTACTATTTAACATGGGCAAATCTTATAACCACTCTTCAAGCCCTTCAGTTGCCTTAAATTTCTTTCAGTCATCAATCCCTAAGGAACAAAGAATTCTAGCAGTCTGGTGTAATTCTGGTAGAGGCAAAGGATTCTTAATGCAGAGATAAGAAAGATGGAAAAATAAATTGCATAGAGAGGAACCTTGAATAGCCAGCTAAAAACTTTAGAACTTAATGCTCTAGTGAACAAGAACCAGGGAGAATTTGTGATATGGTAATATGGTCAAAGTATATTTAAGAAAGATTGTTAGTCATGTTTGTAAGATAGCTTCAAGTAGAGAGAGGTATGAGAAAGAGAAACTAGTCAGGGGAATATTATGGAAATCTGATTATTCAAAAGGAATGTTGTGGAAATAAATGATAAAAATCAGAAGGCCATCAGGTCTGGCCTGGCTGGTCACAGCCAGGAAAAGACACATTTATGCTTCAGACAACATAATTGGGTATTTGGCACTGTTTTCACTTTGGTTATATATGTCTGTTCCCCAGGCTCCGAAACATTCACTACCTCTTCAATACCGCCTTCTTCCTCATCGCCTGGCGCCTTCTCATTGCCAAATCTCAGATCGCTCGGAATGTCTGGTTCTTCATCGTGAGCCTCTGTTATAAATTCCTCTCCTACGTTAGAGCATCCAGCATGCTCAAGGTCTAAGAACATTTGGCAATCTCCTTTTGTCTGGAACCTCTCAGATACCTCTAGAACAGCAAACTACGGTTCTCAAGATTAGGAAGTAACAAAGAATATGCCCAAGTTCAT